TGAAACTTTTCCAACAATTGCATTATTTAGAGGTGTTCAGCCATGTTTTTTTATTGGAATTGTTTCAAAGCTGTGGTATGAATTTTGTTTGCTGAAAGCATAAAAGCAAGGCATTGCAGAAACTTGCGGCACTTTTTATTTTTCCTCCTATCTCTGTTTTTAGTTTGCATTCCTGATGGTCAGCTCTGATTTCTTTGTTTCAAATCCTGCTATGAAGTTGCATGATTAGTCGATGATGGATAGGTAGAATTCTGGTTTCTTGTTGAATCTGCTTGCATGATTGAAATGGAAAGAAAAGCCACGGCTAAGAATTTGCAGCAAGCTTGGAAGCAAAAGTCAGCAGATTTCATTCTGTTTTTAGTTGCAGATTTTGAAGCTCTTTACGTATGCATGCATGAAAAACCAAAGAAAATTGCCTCTTAACCCCCTCAAGTTTTCCCTTATGCCACTATGACTCAACCAATTGAATAATTCCATCAATTTGATCTTTCGCAGTTTTGATTTTTGTAACTTCATTGTTTGTTTGCTTTAATTAATTGTCATAGCTTGTTTAATTGCATTTAATTCATGACTTTAGGGGCTTTATGATCAAGTGAGCTTTCTTTTGTGCTTTTCTTATATTTTTTCTTAATTAAAGTGGTACCTTGACCTTTTTATTGTTTTGAAGCCATTTTTCTTTCATTTGGACACCATTCAAAGGGGGCGGTATAATTTCTTTTATCCCTTTTGTTTCTCTCCTATGTGACCCAACGTGTTAAGTGAATTGCATGCCTACTTTGCTTTTCTAGCTTTTCTTTAATTCCTTTTACTTATGTCATTTACTTTTTGTTTTCATTAAATTATTCTTTTAATGGGGTATGTGTACACCTCTTGGCTTGTAATAGATAGGGCTGTGGCGAGCAATTTGGTCCATTTTCCCTTTCCCCTTTTGTTTTAGTTAGTGAATGTAATAGGTTCATTAGCTTGGTTGCATGCCTACGTGTTAAGTGTTAATTTGCGTTGTTAGGGCCTTGCATCTAGTCGAGCATGCTAAATGTTATGTGCTATGTGTTTATGAGTGTTTGGCATGTCTACTCGCTTTTCATAGCCATGAATGAATGCGATGGATGAATATACGTTTCCGCTAGTCCAACGCTAGTCGGAATTCATAGAATGGGCTAGTCCAACGCTAGACCCTTAGGGATTTCCCCTCGTTAGTACATGTTTGCATGTTTCACTTCATTTCATGCATTTTTTTTAGTTTTATCATTTTGCATGCCCCTCGAACCCCTTTTCCCTCCATTTTAGGATTTTTGTATTTCATGCTAGTTATAGGGTTCATTTGCTTGAGAGTCCCCTTAAATATGGGATATAGACGAGTGTGGCTTTTTCTAAGTCTTAGCACGCTTGTATTCCCTCTATAAAAGGGCAAATTAAGTCACGATTTAGGTCTCCCCGTACCCAATATGCATACATTCCCTAGGATCATGCATCCACTCTACCATTTTATACTCTTATCACACTTTCATCTTGCACATGTGCACCTTTATATTTTCACTTGCACACGAGCACTTTTGCCATTACTTGCACTCATGCACTCCATATTATCATTTCACATACCGCACCTTGCCCACTCACGTGCACACTCTCACTTACACATTATTGTCTTTTATTACTTTTTCAAACTCATGCCTTCACATTGCATACATGCATTCCATTCATTTGCATCCCACTCGCATTATTCGTGACTTCTTCAAAGGATCGTTATTGGGCTTCACAATTAATGTGATTGGCACTACTCAACCTTTGAAGAGAAATTTTCCCCAATACCCCTAGGTCTAGGGTTTGCATCCATGTAGTGCATCCAAATGTAATAAATTCTTTGGTTAAAACAAGAAAATCTTTGATTAAATCATGCAACTAGCCTTGGCTAGGTCAAAGGGGTGCCTTGGATTTTATCCTTGCCTTCCCCTTTGTCAAATGTGACTCCCGAACCTTTTTCGTTGGTTTACGTGGACTAGGAGTCGTTTAAAAGGGGTTTCTTACTACTTTTTCCTATTTTTCTTTAAAAATTCATTTTTTAGGTGACTTGGTACACCTTAACTCATTACCAAGTGGCGACTCCAATTTTGATTTCAAAAACCCTTTTTAAACTATATTTTGGGTCAAATCGTCGCATTCTCAAAACCCCATTTAGACCCATTTTTTCTTTTAAATCACAATTTATTTTCCAATCATAAATTGAATCAAAAAATACATTTTTTAAACCTATTTTATTTATTTATCAAAAAATGGGGCGCGACACTCTTAATGATCATTATAGTGAGGAAATGATTTTGGTATTTTTGCCAATTAAAGGAGACTAAAGCAGCTTCTTGATGATCATTGAAGTGAGGGAATTGTAATTCTTTAATTTTGATGTTTTTTGGATTGTCTTTCCTATATAAGTGATAAGCTTTTAATAAAATAAACTAACTTAGCAATTTTGATCATTTCTTAGTAAAAGACCTTTTGATTTTGCCATCAAAAGTTCATCATTCTTGTTGTATCCTAGAGGTATATTGCCTTAATTTAGAAACAAACAACTAAGTGTAGTGAGGGCAATAAATACCTTAATGATAGTGTTTGTACCCATTTCAAGAATCATCAACAAAATCCCTATCTTTTGTGAAATTTGTTAGTGAAGTTTTTGCACTCTTATATTGCCTTGTTTTATTTTTTCAATAATTTTAAGGTGTTATTTTGAGAGTAATTTGGTGCAAAGAAATCTATTACCAGAAATGTACTCAAATATGATCTAGTATTTCAACCGATCTCTCCTCCACAAGATGATGATAGCAAAGCAGATGAAAGAAATGTAAAATGGATGAAGTGCTATGTAGAGGGTCTCTTGGATTGTTTCTACAACTTTTACTTCGTGACCAAACCCCTAGAGAAATTTGGACTGCATTGGACTACAAAAAAACTTGAAAGATCATGAAGTGGAGATTTCTGTATTATTTATAGTGGGCATAATCATTGAAAAATTACTCCAAGTTGGAACGACTATTAAAGGAAATGTCTTCATGCTAACAAGACATTCATGGTGGATACTTAATCCTATGATACAATGGGAAGGATAATTTTGGACAAAAATATTAGTTCAAAGGACAAGGAGTAATTGAAATTGTCCAAGGATGGTGTATTTGTCAAACAAGTTTACATGATATGTTTAACATGGTTATCAATAAGTGTGTCAATTCCACCTATTTGATTAAATTTTCTTATTTTTTATGGCTTGGTAGTTTGTACATGTGAATATAGGAAATAATATTTTATGTCAAATTATAGCCTAAGAAACGAAGTGTGTAACATGTATTCAAATGTGGTAAAAAGTATTTTATTACCTTGATTGATGATTATTCAATATTTGTGCATGTGTATCTAAGGCAATCACCTAAACTATGGTAGGAGAAATATGTATTTGTATTACTCTCAAGTGAATTTTGGTACTACAAATGCTGGTAATTGCATTTATTCTAAATTCAGTCAAGAGATATTGTGATCATAAGATGCTAATTGTTGAAATCAAAATTTTGGCTACTGTATGTGTAAAAAGGCAAGTTGTTTAGGGTTTGTGGCCACACCCTATGCATCCAGTCTTTTTATTATGCAATAAGAAATTACTATGTCTAGAGCTTTAAATACTTGAAAAAGGTGTAATTGTAAATCTAGATATGTTAAGTTTAAGACTTGAGTGCCTTAGACAAATTTTAATAAAGAATGATGCTATGTTTATTATATATCAGAATGTATAACAATTAAGAATATCCATCAACTAAACCCTTGTTAAGGAATTTGGTGAATCTAACGTCATTAGATATGCAGTTGAAAACCTTAACGTAAAATCACTTGCAATCAAAACACTTCCTTGATCCTAGCACTACCCGTAGATGAAAAAGTTTAAGGAGTAACAACAAGTTGCTAAGTGGTTGTGAGCACTAGGTACTGTTGTGTACATTCCCACCCAACTAGTGCATAGTGCTATAAGAGGTTGAGTATATGTTGAAATTATATTCTTAATGAAATGTAAATTCTTTCTTAGTGCTTGGTCCTATAAAGGTTAAAGCGTCTTCACCTATATGATCATAGAGTGGTGCCGCTTCTAACAAAAGTTGGGTTTGCTTTTGCTTATGATCATGAATCTAGGATGGAGCATATGACCAATAATAGTGCTAAAGTATTTTGTGAATTGATTAATGTTTATAATATCATATGTGTAGTATATCTAATCTAATTTTCAAATCATGGTTTAATGCTGTATGCAACCTTGATTTTGTTAGATTTGGTGGTGTGCTTACAATAAAAGAAAAGTTTAAATCTAACGATATTTATCTATATGCATGATTTATATGTGATTGTTTATTTCATTCACAAACTAAGTGGGGCATTGTTGGAATAATTTCTAAATCAAATAGAAATTAGGCTTGTAAGAACAAAAAATCTGGTAGCTTAAGGATCTATTGGAAGCCAAAAGTTTCTGAAACATTTTTGGCATTTTCTATCCATTGAAGGGGCTTAATGTTGCCTATCAATGTCCATAAATATCCATAAACATGTGAAATAGTAGCTAAATAACTTGTGACTGTTGGGTTATCTTTACACTATAAAAATGACAAGTCTCTAACACATAAACTAACTAAAACTTTGATCCTTTCTTTGTAAAAGCAAACTTGACGTTTGCAGGAAGAGGACATGAACCAAAACCTCTATCAATAATGACAAATCTTAAGACCCGGAAGTCATTTTTAACTACAGAGACGCCGCCTACGCACAAAAGGAACACCTTGCAAGTCCATTCTTAACGCCACTCTTGTTGAAACCGACAATGCAGAGTGAGAGTCGAAAATACAGAAAGATGAAGCAATTGCACCCACTTTAGACAGAGCATCCGCCACTTGATTTCCTTCTTGAAAACAATGTGTTACTTTGGAAACAAATCCCATGAATCCCTTAATCTGTTCTATCTCCTCCAAGATTGTCTAAGGGCAAACCGCTTTCTTCGGCAAAATTCGCACCAACAAAAGAGAGTCAACCTCCACATGCAGCCTATCAAACCCATAATTTAAACATTGTTGTAGTCCAACAAGTAAAGCTTTCGCTTCAGCCTGAACACTTGACATCTCCCCAAAAGGAGCTGCAAAAGCAAAAATCATACCACCATTATCATCACAAAGGATCCCGCCACCCCCACTTCTTCCTGGGTTACCCATAAAGCATCCATCCGTATTTATCTTAACCTCCCCCACCAACGGCTTCACCTGGGAAATCAACTGAAACGAGTACTGAGAGCTTAACAAATGAACCCTATCACGGAATTCCTGCCAAGAACGCATCTTCGACAACCTATTGGGGAACCTTAAATCGAAAATAGTCTTTAGTTCCTGAAAAATCTAGATACAACTTCCTTGAAAATGCGGCTCATGCCCTTCAAAAACCTTCCTATTCCTTGCCTTCCAAATTTGCCAACAAATCAGAGTTGGCAAAATCTCAAAGACAAAAGCCAAAAACCCATTGGAGCTACGGCAAAACCACCAAGCCGCTAGCTTTGACCTCACTCCCCTTCCCAAATAGGTAATACCTGCCACCAAACCAAAAAATTGCCACAATTGTAATGCAAAATCGCCTTCCAAGAACACATGATCCAGCATCTCTGCTTGCAACTGAGCACAACAGAAACATTTTGCTGGTCCTTGGACACCAAACTTCACGACGAAAGATGCAACTAGAAGTCGATTCTTCAAAAGGTGTAGCATGAAAAAGGAGATCTTGACAGGCAAATAGGAATGCCATATTTTCGAGAAAACAAAAGAGGATGAGGAAGCAGAACGTAACTCTTGGAAACCTGCAACAAAAGAAAAACACCTGATTGGGATGTCTTCCAAATTATTCGATCGGACTGATATGACGAAGGGGGATCTTTCCTCAAAATTTTTGCTACTACTGGAGAAGGAACCCATTGCAACAAAAGTTGTTGATTCCATTGACCAGAAGACACAAAATCTTGCACCTGGTGATTCAATAGATTCTCTAGCCTTTGGCATAATGGCCCCGAGCCCAACCAATTCTTGAACCAGAAATTACTAACCCCATATCCCAATAAGCTAATCATATTCGGCTTTGCCTGCTTTTGAGTCGCTAACATTCTCCTCCAAATGTGCGAGTCTCCTCGGAACACATCTACCATACAAGGATATGCCTGGGGGCAATATTTTGCTGCCATAAACCTTGTCCAAAACGAGTCTCCCTGACGAAACTGCCACCACAACTTCATCGAAAATGCAACATAAACATGTTCCATATCTCGAAAGCCCACTCCCCCTCCATCCTGAGGCAAGCATAATTCCTTCCACCTCATCCAATGGTATCTCAAACCTCCTTCATGCATCTCCCCAGAGGAAATTGGCAAATAGCTTCTAAATCTTATTCAATACCCCCTTAGGAGGACAAGATGCTGCCAACATGTGTAGCGATAACGAGGAAAGAACATGTTTAATGAGAATAACCCTTCCACCAAATGACAAGAATCTGTTACTCCACAAAGATACCTTATTAATCACCGCTTGGACCATCACCGAAAAATAAACCCCCGTCCGCCTACCCGAGAAGAGCGAACAACCCAAATATTGCACTAGAATAACTTATGAGTAAACCCCGTGACTCGCTGCACATGACTTCTATATATCACTTATGCTTTATCATGAATCAGGAAACAACTCTTCTATTTTTATTTTGTCCAAATCGATGGCTTGAAAACCAAAAAAAAAAAAAAAGAAATGCTGAAAGTTATATATGAACTTGTTTGTGATGTTTTTGAGTTGATACAAAAAGTTATTTTCATCGTTACAAAATATTTCAAGTTATCTTTACAAATATTGTAAATTATTTATAATTTTAAATATCTTAATAGTTCTTGTCCAAACCAATGATATAAAAAAATTATTAAAGAGGTCTTTCCACCCTTTATCAACTTTAAAATTTCAATTAAAGAACCAAATTGACAATTTTACAAAAATTAAGAAATACAATCAATGTATTATGACAATTAAGCATCCACAAGAAAAGGGTAAATCTAGGATGAGATTATATTTTCTTATATTATGAAATTAATAAAGTGATAAGTGTGAATGTTAATTCATCTCCCCAAGATATCTATTGAAATATTCATTCCCCTACAAGGTTCATTGGTACATTGATAAATCTTCTTGTTGTTTGTTAGTTTATTATCGATCTACTCAATTCACGTACTTGAAATACTAAATTCATGTATCTATATTAATATTGGTACATGTACTTTTGGCCTTGTATCACCTATTCATGATGCTTATGTATAACCTTGAGAACTCTAAATAAACTAGTTAACAAAAGCATAAATTTCTCTCTACTTCTCACCTAGTTTTATAATTTTTCTATATTATTCTAGTAGTTTATAATTCAGCATACAACCACTACAAACCACTGCCAACCAAATATAGATTAGCATTAGTTTTACAACATTTCTTCCAAAATGACCTTCTTTTAAGATTATAGTTTGACCCTTGAAGTGGATTGTAAAAGTATTTAAAAAAAAACCCAAAGTAGAGGAGGCAAGTGAGATTTTATAAAATTCTGAGGTGTCAAGTGATACTGTTAGAAATCTCATGGGAAGTTTCTGAATTTATTTCTTAGCCATCTCCTCCCTCGACTCTGCTTTTGATTTTCCTTTCCTCCCTCTTGTTTCCAAATTTCACCACCACCCCTGCATATGATATGAAAGCCTCCTCGTCTTCTTTGCCCTTTTATTTTTCCTTCTCCTTCTCTTGAATCTCTGCAACCCACTTGCTGTTTAGTGAAGAAGAGGCCTTCAAAGAGAGAATTTTGAGTAAAAGATTGATTTGTGCAATTTCTCATACATACGATACGGGTAAGATTTTTTTTTTTTTTTTTTTTTGTTTATATCCTAGAAGTATCTGAAAATCATGGTGAAAGCCTCCGTTCATCGATATCTGATGAGTCAATATGGTTGACTCAGTAGACTCGGCCCGAATCTTCCGAATCTTAATGAGCTTCCACCGGATCTACCGTCTCCGTGATATTGCGGGACGGAAGCTGAAGTTCCGGTGACGACTTGAACTCGGCCACAGTCTTTGAACCATGGTCTGCTATAGTATCAAGTTACTAGGTTCAGAAATTTGGGGAAATTCAATCTTTTTCCACTTTCATATGCATCTGATTGGGTTTACGTCAAGTTTTAAGTGACTGGCTGTTTGATTTAGCTATAGCAGGAATACATAATCAGGCTATTCAATAGTCAATACTAGACTGGAGCTCTGTTCAATCTTATGCTCATGAAAATTTAATCCAGGCTTGAACATGCTGTGTAGACTGATTAGGCTTGTGGACACCCTAGAGTTATTATCACATGAATTTTGCTTGTGAGTTTCAAATGGCAAAGCTCTTTTTTTTTTTGGTGTTTAACCACTTAGGGAACAAATTCTCTCTTGCTTTACCTGTTTGGCTAGCAGATTATTGTTCAGCGCTAGCTTTAATGAGATAGTTTATGTTATCTGTTTTGTTTAACCTCTTAGGGAACAAATTCTTTCTTGCTTTTCCTGTTTGGCTAGCAGATTATTGTTGAGTGCTAGCTTTTATTGAGATAATTTATGTTAGTGACCTACCAAGATATGGCCGCACTTAGTTACTGATTAATCTGGATACTGTACAGCTTTGCTCAACCAGGAAGAAATGATTATTGTTGAGTGCTAGCTTTAATGAGACAATTTATGTTAGTGACCTGCCAAGTTATAGCCCCATTTAGTTACTCTGATTAATCTGGATACTGGACAGCTTGCTCAAGCAGGAAGAAATGAGTGCTTACCAGGCTTTTAAAGCATGTGTGCCAATTGAATGGAGTGATAAGCTGTATATAACCCTTGTTAGGGGTATGCCTGGAACCAGGGAGCTCCATAGGCGGACATTAGAGGCGCTGCACCTCCGCAAATGCAACCGCACGGTTGTGCGGAAAAATACTCCTACAGTTCGTGGAATGCTTCAGCAGGTTCTCAAATTAGCTTTTGCTTCAACCACATGTTTATTTTATATGGTCAAATTCCTATCGTTGTTTGGCAACTGACAGTTGTTGAATAAGATTGAAAAATAGAATTACATGGTATTTTTGGCATAACAGGTGAAAAGATTGGTTGCGATTGAGACGAAGGAAATGTACGAGGCTCGGAAACAAAGAGAGGCTAATCAGAGAGCTCTGCGTCCACCATTGGTTATCAGTCATCATCCTGCTCCAAAGACTGATTCCTCTCAGTAATCTTAAGAGATTCTTCAAGGCATGTTTGTTTTCATTTTTTCTGCTTTAATCTCTCTCTCTCTCTCTCTCTCTCTCAGTAATCTTAGGAGATTCTTCAAGGCATGCTTGTTTTCATTTTTTCTGCTTTAACCTCTCTCTCTCTCTCTCTCTCTCTCTCCATGTGAACTACTCAGACACAGAAGCACGCATTTGAAGGTTATGATCTCTGTTCTGTAGGTACCTAGCACAGTTATTGTCTGAAATTTCCCAAGGCACTGATTGTGATTCAGATCTTTTGATAAACAGAAGTTTCATTTGTAGCTGAGCTTGTGTTAAAGCTGTAATGTCCTGGAAGATGAATAGAATTTGAGTTGTTGCAGATTTGGATTCAGGGAGCGTAGATTGCGGAGACTTAGGCGGTTAATGCTTTTTCATCAGGGGGTTTTCCTTTTGGAATGAGATCATTAGTTAGTGGATTAATGGATTTTTGCACTCCTGTTTGTAGAAATACTTTCATGTTATATTTTAGTTCATTGCTTGATGTATCTTGCTTTGATGCATCAACATATAAACAAATCCCTGCCATGAACTTTAAAAGTTGTCTAGTTGCTAATGGTCCAGTAATCTTTGATAGCTTTCTGGTTACTTGGCCTTTCCATAAGCTGGTGAAAGGGCTTCTTAAGTTAATGCTTGATCAAATTTCTGAGATCGCTCCAATGCCTAGGGATTGTTGACCAGTGGTAAAAGATTACAGAATACCTACCATGAACTGAAGGACACCTTTTGTATTTGAGTAGATCTCGCTCAATACAAGGATATTGAAGGAACCCTTTGTATAGAAAAATTTTATTCATCTTCAAATGAAATTGGAGGAAAATACAAGGACATTGAACACCAAATTTGGGCACAAGGATTTATCACTCTCTTATTCTTTGCCATTTGGTTTCGTTCTGAGTCTACAAAAGAAAACCAGATTCTTTGACTCCTCTACCGTACATGATCTCTAGCTTGAAGCAGTTAATGGAGGATAAAAAACACGTGGCTACCATTCTGTTCTAATGCATGCAATTTAGCAGAAACTCCAAACAAGAGGTGCAGTATTATAAGTGCAGGCTTCTGTCTGCTTATAATTTTCCCTTCCATCTCTAAATTGGTCCCTATTATCTGGCACACCTGCTAATGCTCCCAGCAGAACATTAGGATTCGATTCCTGGCGTCCACACCAGCTATTGCAGCCTTGGATGCATCCTCTAAATCCCTTGCTATTCCTGTAAGACTCCATGGATGGTCCTCTGTGATGCACCCTCTGAGGGTATCTTGAACCGTAGCCAACCAAGTAGCTGGTGGCCATTGGACTAGAGCTTAAGACAGAATCAACCTGTGATCTTGCAGATCCACTAATACTCCATGGCAGTTGAGGTTTTGATTGGCAGCTCAGAGATGATCAGAGTAGGACATAAGCAAAAATGTTGCGGACGAAACGTATGTTCTACATGCTTCTCCTTCATTCCAAACTGATTAAAAGAAACGTGTTGATAAATTGTAGGGAAACCATTTTAATCAGGGAAAGGTATTTTCACTTTTGTTGAAGTCTTCTTATTTAGCTGTTGAATTTAGTGCTTCATAATTCATATCATAATCACCGTTAAGTGTCATTTATAACAAGATGGGGGAAATTTTCTTATTTTCCCTAAAAGATCATTGGTTCAAATTCTTTTTTTTCCTCCCAACTTCTTAAATCTCCCACTTCCCCGTTGGAAAATGTTTAAATTCCCCCCTTAAATGCCACCCTCCCCTATTGGAAATTATTTTTCTAAATTTCCTCCTCTACTGAAAACTATTTGTTTTAAAAATGTCTATTTAACACCTTAATACTATAGATACTTATTTTAAATTTTTATTTCAAGAAATGATCATGAAGTGGTTCTTTTAGGTACCAAAGTAAGGTACGGGTACTGACTTTCGGAAAATTCGATCGGTAGGAAAGAAAAAAAAAAACACTCTTGTTCTACTATGGGCTGGTCGTTCCATTTCTGAATTGCTAATAGGAATTATCTATGGAGGTCTTTTAAAATAAAAAATTCTACATAATCTAACAGGTAAAGACTCTTGTACATATTAAATTGTTTAGATGATGCTACCAGTCCCTTTACAATCCATTTACAACATATTAGTGCTCTTAACCCTTCTCAAATCTGCAAGACAATCCTTGTTAAATGACAATTCTATTTGAAAGTGATTTATCCTTATCATGTGATTTATCCCCACACTATTGGAAGAAAGTGACAACAATTGTACTCAAGTCAATTGTTTTGTTGTGGTCGAGATGTGAATTTGGATTTGAAATGATTGTTTTCTGCATTTTTTCAGAGATGATTACTGATTACTACACATAAATGACAGAAAATAATGCCATTAGCCAACTAAAACCATGCTTTCATTGATACATATTCATATGCTAATTGTCAGCTCACTGCTGAATTAGATGTAATATGATAAATAAACCTATGCTACAGACAAAAAGGATATTATCCTTGTACGTATTGTTGTCAATAACATTCTAATCTTTCCAGCAAAATTTCTCTAATCAAACCCTAGATTGCAAGAACCCTCAAATTTCCAACGACTTAAAAGACCATCAAAACCGAGAAAGGCAAAACATGAAAATGAACAAGACAACATGACCTGCGAAAAGTCATCATAACCTTCTTAGATTTGAAATCATAAATATAATCCTAAAACTAATTGGTCATATAGATTACATCAACTTCTTGATAGTATGAGTAGAGAATCAGAAAAATTAAATAGAAAGAATACTCAAATGAAGAGAACTTGAAATTCTAAACAGAAAAATTTCTTTTCTCCAAAACTTTCGTGAACAACTTAGATCATCTTCATTCTCCTTGTATCAACACTCAAGATCGTATCAGTCAGATACAAATGCTCTTGCAACCTTCTCAACCTTTGCACAATGAAAATAGAAATTGACTCTCATATCTCTGGGGTTAACAAATGCAAAGTAGGTTGCAAAATTCTACCTTAGCTCACTATAGTCAAATCTAACAATGTAATATCATCACTGCTCCTCACTGCTCATTCCTCCTCTGTGCTCCTTTCCACCAGAAACATGAAATATACAAGTGATCTTGCAACACGTGCGCCTCCACTTCTAACAAGAAATTCATTCTGAGTAAAAAATTGAAATTGATTTACATTTAGTTCATTGTCAGAACTGTTTCTAGATTAAGGGGGAAAAACTCTAAAAGCCCGTATGATTTCTGTTTGGTTATCCGCAATATTCAAGAATCTCAAAGGAGATCTTAGCAACCGATTGAGAAAAAATAACAGGTATGGATTAGCAACTTTCCCCAAAGATGTTCGTCAACAACATTGTCAATAAATCTTTTGACAATGGCACAGAGTGAGGATTCTAATACAAATATTACTCTATTGCTCATCATAAAGTACAAGTAAAAAGACTCACCTACACCCAAAGTGGACCACTATTCTAGTACTACTACAGCTTTAGTAAATCAAACTTGAAATCTTTTTTGGATACATGCCCTAAAATTCAATTTAAGCATAGAATTTGGGGTAAATTAACAAATAACTGCAATACAGTGAAAACTTAACATAGCAGGTAGAGATAAATGCTATATTCAGCAAAACTAAAAGTTAAAAGCTATAGAAAACAAGCCAACATCGGAAACAGCAGATTATACAACATTTGAACACAAAACCTAATGAAAAGACAGGAGGAAGACAATATACTTTATCAGCAGGAAAAGGATCTCAAATTCAGAAGCCTCAGAAATATCTCTATATAATTCTGCTGTCATTTACCAGATCCCTACCTACAACATGTCCAGACCTTATAAAGGGAAAATGGCATTTGTTCAGAACATATGAAAGGGATCAAATAGTACCTAATTTCTATGTGGTTTAAAAAAACTGACAACAAATCATATAACAGTATTTATCTTTCCACATATTATCTTTGGAATAGTTGAAAAAACAGGGACAGTATTTACCTTTCCACATATCATCTTTGGAATAGTTGAAAAAACAGGGACTTTGTTCATTTGATTTTCTTTTCCGTTTATTGTTCTAGTCCAATGAGATTTACAAGATAGAAGCTGACAAAGTTCTGCTACAAAGATTTCTATTTTGACAAGAAAAGGAAACCAACTGAAAAAAATGATGGAATAAACTAAACTTCTTCAGTAAGAATAAGGCATGGAAATTAGAAGGCAAATCGAACTCCACACTTTACAACATATTTATAATCACCACTTCACCAAACTGCATGCAACAAGCCATTTTGTTCCATGAACCATCTCATAACCTAAAACTTTCCTGAAACTAAAACCTAAAAGCAAAATTCCAAGCCCTTCTCATACAAAGCATCTCCAAATAGCAACTTTAAATTTGGCATACATACTTTCCATTCAACATACATACTGGATGGTCCAAAGCCTCAACAAGAATATATAAAGCCATTTTCATTGAACACCAATGCTTGAATCAACATAAAGCAATGCAAAAATAACAGTAAATTACAATCATTACTAAGAAAAAAAACTGAAAGTGAAAAAATAAAGGGATTGAGGAGCCCGAAAGCATTTACAGATAGTACGTACTATGTTTACATTAGAGACAGAATGCTACGTTGACGGAATACAACTTAAGAAAAGAACCAGGGGATTAAGATTCATCACCATGCAGAATTATGTAAAAATACCATAAAAACATTACGTCAAAGAAAAACCCCCAAACAATTGGAAACAAAAGGTACAACAGCAATTTAGACAATTTCAATGTCACGAGAGTAGCTACAGAAAAGGGCACAAAACATTATGTGCATCTAGGAAAGACAAAAGAATAGATTGAGTACAGTATTCTTTGGCTACCATCCATTTCCTTTTCTCCTTCCAAAATTACTTGAGATTAACATCATTTGGAAACTTTTACATGAACTCCTTGATAACTAAAAAAAACCCACAAGCAGCAAAAGATAAATCTGAAGAAATCTATAATAATGATGATAATAATAATGATAATGATAATAATAATAATACTAATGATGATAATAATAATAATAATAATGATAATAAAAGTAATAGTAATAATATACAAGTTACAAAGGAAGAACACATAGCTTTGATAGAGGATTATTTGAAAAGTTTTGCAAGAATAATAGTGTAGCACTAGTTGCGATATGATCTCGATATTTGTGAGATGAAAAGGTGGTTGGGAAATAAAAAGGTGATTGGAATACTTGTTTATAATGCAATTTTTTTGCAAATAATCATCAATCCAAACATGTCTTCTTTTAAAGAAAAAAGGAATCAGGGACGGGGAAAGCAAAAAACAAAAAAACAAAAAAAACAAAAAAACAAAAAAGAAAGAAAGAAAATACAACTTTTCACTGAAGCAAACCCAAATTGGCTAACAAAAGGTTGACAAACAATTTGAGGAAGAAAGAAAAATAGAAAAAATGCACTCTTAAAATAACAAAGATTAAATGAAGTCGAAAAACTAAAGGATCAGGATGGGGGGAAAAACCCAAAAATTACCATATGTTGAATAGTAGAAGCTAGGGAAAATGAATGCTCAATATGTGTCCTTACCCCATTTAGTGTCCCAGTAGTTATAGTTCAGAGTTGATAAGCTCTTCAACAGAGTTTCTATACTTGGAAATAAGATCCCTGAAATCAGACAAATCAAAGACGAAGCTGGTAAAAAGAGAGCCAAAGGCAATAAGAACAAATATAAGGTATGTATATATTGATAACTGAATGATGGAGAAATCAGAATCTAGGCACCTTCGCTGATTCAATAACTGTTCAGTTTCCTCTAGTTTATGCTTTTGTCCCTCGACTGTCTGTCAATATTGGTACATCCTGGGCTCAGCTTTCCACATAACAAATAAAATCCAAAAGGATGCAAAATCTAAACAGAGTATAAAAATCCCCAGTGGCAGGACTTAAAAGAATGCCAAAATCGTAGAACAACACATTTAAACTCCACTTTTATCTATTTAGTTATCTTGAGGAGGAGGAGGAGGAGGAGGAAGGGGGGGGGGAGACTGAGGGGGTATGCCAAAATCATAGAACAACACATCTAAACTCCACTTTTATCTATTTAGTTATCTTGAGAGTTGGGGGGGGGGGGGGGGGGGGGGGGGGGTTGAGACTGAGCAAGTGTGCAAAATAAGTCTTCATGTAGCATTACAACAACAATCTAAAGAATCTGCAGAAAACTTACCATGGATCTGGAGTTGATTGAACCCGAAATTGAGTTTAGCAGCTGTTGACACTTGTCAAATTGGCTGTTCAATTCGGTAACCTTTAGAAGAAGATGGTGAAGAAGAAGAAAAATGTACACAGAAAGCGTCATCATTTATGGTTATAGAATAAAAGAAGAAGGTGGTATTAGTCTGAGGAAATTCATTATATGGATTAATTTTGATAGAATCACTCACTAGTGCATCTGAATGCTGATCTCGAGTTCCATTCTCTATAGCGTCTGCTAAGTTTTCCACTAGCTGTAAACATACAAATCAAAAGAAAAGCATATTAGAAAAAGAGAGAGCTGGGGAACCAAATATTGCTATTTTGCCAAAAGTAAATTCGGGGTTTCTGACAGAAAACCTACGTGTAGAAGATGGAAATGAGATGCAAGTGACTGGTGCTGCTGCTGCTGCTGGGAAAAACAATGTTGTTGCTGCTGTTGTTGCTGCTGATACAGCGGTGGCTGTTGTTGGAGGAAGAGGTGGTGATGATCCTGAGTGGAGGAGGGAGTAGAAGGGTTGCTACTGCTGCTGAGAGTCTGGACGTTTGGGATCATTGACCAATTTCCTCCGTAGTGATCCATTGACAATCCTCAGCCCACAGCCCTCAATGTGCTTGCTAAAATGCCTACAAAAGGTCTATATATTATGAGTACTTCCAAGCCGAGAGGGGACCCTGGGCTATTGTGTTGCTGCTGTATTATTATTGACATCAATGCAATTATGACTATAATCTTGGAAGACAATGTTTGTATTTTTCACATTAACACTGAATGCTTTGCCTTCCCTAATACAAACATGTTGTACCCTTCCTAGTCGGAGCCCTGAACAAAAAAAAGATGATTCACAGAAATATTCAACACCATGTACCTCTTAAGTTAATGAAAGATTCCTTTTATCCTCCATCTTCCCCTCCCCCCCCCCAACAACCCAAGCCACCACCTGCCCCTCTTCCCCAACACTTAGAAATGATGCTAATATTTTCAACAAGAGGCCAAAGATCACATATATTGCCCATATAACAACATTTACCATCATCACATTACAATAACTATATATGTGCAGCAGATTCAATTAAAACTAAGAATGGTAGCATCATTTCTAGTGTTTACTGAAAAATTAGTCCAAAAATACAAGTGTTTTAACATAAAAATGTAATAAGATCATAACAATAATAATGGTAAAGCACGTTGGGAGATTCTAAGCACTAACTTAGATCTGAAACTTTTTGATAGAACAATTTGGAGGGATATTCTACCTTACTAGCACAACAATTTGATCCAATTATTTGCCTGATTGTTTTGACTAACTACAAAAACTAGGAAAAGAAACAGAATCCTGGTTGGGATATTAATACTATTACTTGTTAAGGCTTGCAACGAGACAGAATGCTACTGCTGCTGTGCTACCCGCACCCTCCTCCCCCTTCACCACCACCCCGCAACCCCACTCCCTCCCCTTCCCCTCTATCCTCCATCTCCCCCTTCCCCCGCCACCCATCCCTTTTCTCCACCACCTCCCACAGCCCCCTCCCCCCATCTTCTCCCCATTCAGCCCAACCCACCCGCTGCCACCCTCACCTCCCCCCAAACCCCGGGCAGCCCCTCTCCCCAGCTTCTCCCCCTTCAGCACAACCCACCCGTTGCCATCCTCACCTCCCCCAAAACCCCAGGCAGCCCCTCTCCTTCTCCCCTTTCCCTCCCACACTCAATTCACAAACCCAGAAATTTAAAGAAGCCCACAGACAACCATATTCAAAGACTTGAATTCACGGACCCCGATAATCACAAACTCCACAAAAACTTGAATTGATAGAAACCCAGAAATTTTACCGACAACCATATTATGCATTCTTAACAACAAAATAATTCCACAAAACAACAAAGATTCACACAAAATCCTCCCATTCAAAACTTAAGTTAAAACTTACAACCAAGAAAAACGAAGCCATAAAAAAATAACCAAAAAAAAATTCAAGCACTCAAATCAGCATAATCCTGTAATCAACAAAAAAGAAAATAAGAATAAGGAACTTCACACTGCTTTGTGGCCAAGAAATGTAGCGATATAATGGCGGTGACGCTGGTGGCAGATTCTGGCGAAGTCGAAAATCCACTCCTATCCTCTTCTCCTCTGTTCCATTTTCCTGATCGGGATTTGTTCTTGGTTTTCCAAACTGAAATCTTCAATAAAATGTTCTATCAGTTCTTGGAAGCCTTCTCGTCCAGCTGACGAAGGGAAAAAAATGATGAAAGGGGTTCTGAGTTTAGTTTTTGATATTAAATTGCGCGATAGTTAGAAGAAGAGAGAAATGGTACGTTAGCTAGTATAAGGATAAGACTTGGGTTAAACTCGCCTAATTTACAGACCTTCGGATCTCTCCTGTTTCATTAGAATCAACTCCCATTTACAACATATTCCTCGATCACAATTAGGAATTTCATGAATAGGTCTTGATTGATATAATTTAACCAAATCAGGGACGCTAAAGTGGTTCAATTTACCCCAGTTCGTAAAGTTTGTTTTTGTTTACAATATCAGCCACCAAAGTTCTTGTTTTTCCATTAACTCTTTCTCATTATAGCATTTCTGTAGCATAGAAAAAAGTCTATAGTATAAGAATCAATTTTCAAAAGTAATTATACAAGGTGATGGTCCAAAATCTTTGCTGATGCGACTAGCAACTTTTTTCACAATCCAAAATGCGATGAATCAACTACCAGACATTCCAACTTAGAGCGGTAAACGAATCGAGAATTTAACAAATATTTTAAAATTGACTTGTTAAATATTCAATTCAAGATCAATTTTCAACGAACTCAAGTTCAATTAAAATTCATTTATAGTTTTAAATTGAATTCAAACTTGTAGATATTTGACTTGTTAAAACTTAATCCGATTCGAATAATTTTTATTTTTTAAAATATTTGTATATTTTATGTAAAATTATATATGTATTATTTTATTATTTAGATATTATATGTGTAATAGTGATAATTTAATATTAAAAATTAAAAAATTAAATAAAATTTTCGAGTCTCAAATTGAGCTCGACTTTGCAGCAGATTCTATGGCATTGAACGTAGAGGCATTCATTTTCCGCTTTACAAGAGAATGCAAAAGAAAGTTCACATCTTGGGTAAGTGCATATTGAGCGAAGAAAAAAGCCTGTTTTACACAACTCTCGTGCCAAAATTTCAAGAAAAGTGCTTAGTAGTCCCTCGATTTGATTAGTAGAAATGAAAAAAAAAACAAATGTGTATGAAATAATTTCTCACAACTTAAGCTGTGAAGTCGAAGCAAATCAGCACTAAATTTCACCCTACTTCCCCACTCCTTAGGAGAACCTAGCTCCATTCACTAAATTTATGGCTGTCTTTATGTTTTTGGCCAATTCAGCCGCTGCTCCAACATAAGTTTGGGGTGTTAAATTCAAGAGCATCATCTTTGCATCTCCTGGTATATCCAGGTTCTTAATAAATTCTCTCATGCTCTCTTGGGTCACCGCTCTTCCTCTTGTTACCTCCTTTAGTTTTTCATAAGGCTCTGGGACACCATATCTTCGCATGACCTAAAGACCAAACCAAAAAGATTATCATGTGAGTCGATTCTACAAAAGCAATAAAGTTAACTGAAGATAGTGAAATGAAAACCATCCACAATCTGAAGAAACAGTAAACAGTCAGCCATTCAAAACTGCAGTGAGTTCAAAAGGTACCAAATTAATTGTGAATTAGTCACTTAAATGCTAGAAAAATTCCTCCCCACTGCCACCTTAGACCATTTCTTGTTAGGGGAAAATATCTGGATCACTTCCAAACGATAGGGACTTGTCTCTAGTACTTAATCCAACCCTCTACAGATTATCTGTTTGCCTCCACATCACGGTATCAACCTATTCAACCACCTAGCTAGGCCATCTCTCTCGAGACCAACCCACATTCACCCCTTACCCATATAAACCTCCCCAATCTTCTTCCTCTATCGAATCTTACCGGTCATCACTTCTTCAGTATTCTAGCTCTATCCATCTTGCCCAAATGAACACCAGACAATGACTTCCAAACCCAGCACTTCGCATGTAAAAATCAAACTACAAATCAGATTAAGCATACCCTGAACCAAGTAAAAGAAGAACTTAAAAAATGAAAGACACTTCCACAAATCCTTCAGGTCTCTATATGTTAGTGAAGAGGGAGTTCCCTGCTTTTCTATTACATGTCGGTGTTCTAGAGGATGCATAATATTTTGGGCTCGTGTGTCATGAAAGTAAAATTGAACAACTGAGTGCAAGTTCATCATTGGCAGCTTTTAGGAGTGTGCTTTTATCGTCTATGTAAAGAGCTCAGGAATCCTCTTACTAGATAAGCTATTGGACTGATTCTGCTCACAGAAATTACTCAAATTTAGCAGAGAATCCTGTTGCTCCTGTTGCTGTAGAAAGGCCAGTTCTTCCATCCTCAGAGGGATGGAAGGCAGCTGTCAATGTGTTCTTAGTGTGTGCTACGTAGTTCAGTCTTTTATGTTTATTTATATAAAGAACTAAAATTTTCCTTTCCAAATCTTCCTTGAGTTGTCTTCTTCATTTTCTTCCTTTTGCTTGCACTCTTCCTAGTTTGAAAAACTGCGAGTCAATCAATTATATGTTATAGCTCAAAGCATTTAAAAGAGTTCCTATAATAAATATTTTTCCTTTCAGGTAGACAATAACCATAGCCATGAAGACAGTACAGGAGTCCCTATTAATTGACCTCAGGGAAAATGATCTAATTATATATTTCTTTTTCAAATCTGAAGGTGTTAACAGTTATATAGAACTCATTAAAGATGTCTAAATGTAATAAGAAATTAAATTCGTACTAGAATCTTTCCCGTTAACTCTTTTGCCCATTTAACTTGGGATCTTTCCATCACAGACATTATAAGACTTTGTCAAGTTATATACCAACATCTTGCTAGGAGGAGAAATTATGGGACTAAAACTACACAGTTTTTCTGCCCAGCATGCCAAATAATACCAACATCTCATCAATATGCCAAGTTACTGAGTACCAACTCCTCAAACATGCAACAAAGAAAGTAGACACCAAGTAACTGAAAGCACAAATTCAATATCAATTTATTTAGAAGATATCAAATGAAGATATTCACGCACAGTTTGTATTGGTTCTGCAAGCACCTCCCACGTGTGGTCCAATTCTTCACTCAGGGAAGCTTCATTGACCTACAATAAAACAAAACCAGCCAAATTAGAAGCAACAAAAATGATGCCCAATTACCAGTTTTGCAAAGTTCTTAATATTTAAATAAAGATAAAACTGCTTTGATTCTTTCATCTGAGAAAAGAAAAAATAGAAAAAGAAAATATATGGAAAAGAGTACATGGCTTCCTTCTAGAATGGATTCGTCAGGGGAAAAGACAGTGAATTTGCCACAAGAAGCTATTATTCCAGTATTGTCAGAAATGCATTTCTAGTACAGATGTGAGATGCATTAGAGGCCACCAATTGCCAGCTGAGGTAGCCGACAAAAATCAACAAACTACAACTTTTTAGAATAATAAAAATAAAACTTTTTAACAGGGTTTGATTGAGAAGGAAGAATGGAAGAAAACAAGGAATAGAGACACTGATAATCAAAGCGTCAGACCAAGATGACACATATCCATGGCCTATATCCGATTCTCAAACAACTTTCGCCTTCTGATAAGCCCTACCTAAAATACTAAAGCAACCCAACAGTTTTCAATAAACTATGTTCTACAATTGGCCTGTGAAAGCCACCACAAAGACTACTCTAACTGAAGACCCTAAGAATCTTACCATGCTATTCCCTCTGAACTAGTAATCATGAAAAACCGATTACTGAGAAAACTGGTTGAGCAACTTCACAAAGTATAAAGCTTACTAACAACTATTCCCTGTGAATAGATCCCAAGACATCATCTCTTTGACTAGTTATTCCCCCTTCATTTCCTAATCAGCCATACCACACCAATGAAGCAACATGAGCATGAGACTACTAATTCCACACAAGCGTCTTTCTTATATACAATACTCAACATTCAATACCCCTCTGGTACTCATATTTCTTGACCATCAATGAGAGAACTATTGTGGAATACCTGAAGCTTCCCAATGCCCATTAACGTACTCCTGTAGGCTAGCAGAGAATGTCCTAAGCCTACACCCATGTTTCTCAGAACAGTAGAATCAGTCAAGTCCCTCTGCAAATGACAAGCACAGAAATCAATAAGTAACTTTAAACAGATAAAAGTGCAACTACAAAAATAAAGCACAAGCCAAAGTAATTACACATACATATCAAGCACAACCTTGGGATCTATCTAAAACAGTGTCTAATCAACTTTGTTTAAATAGAGTAACAACATCCCTAGCCAGGGTAAAAACTTCCAAGTACAATGATGAAATGGATATTTGCATAGAGCTGAAGATGACACAATTGAGAAGGAAAAAATATTGCACATTTACCTGCCAGCGTGAAATAGGTAACTTCATGCTTAAATGGGACAACCCTGCATTAGCCACTCCAAGATTTCCTTCGCTATTTTCAAAATCAATTGGGTTAACCTTGTGAGGCATTGTAGAAGACCCAATCTCACCAGCTTTAGTTATCTGCTCAAAAGCATGTACAAACACCAATCTTTCATCAAGAGACAACACGTATGTAAACATGAAACACGTGTACATATATATAAATGAGAAAAGTGTTCATATAAGAACATAGACAAAAATTGAAAACAAAAGATTTAAAACAACAAAAAACAGCACTGACCTGCTTGAAGTAACCTAAAGAGATATATCCCCAGATGTCTCTATCAAAATCAACTAGAATGTTGTTGAACTGGATTATAGAATGAAAAAGTTTGCCCATGTAGTCATGAGGTTCAATCTGCATTGCAGAATAATTAAATCAAAACCATGAAGTATCGCATAGTGTCATTATGTCAAAGACATAAACCATGATACTTATTTTCATGAAATTGTCATCAAACCAGAAGATCAGTCATTGGGAACCAGTATTAAAACTTTCAAATGAGGCAAGACCAATTGGTAATTCTAATAGTCAAGTGGCAACTCAAAGCACTGGGTGGCCTAATGCATGACTCAAATACCTCTGAAGAATAAGCTTCTAAATCTGCCAAAACCAAGCCTTTAGGATCAAACATGACAAGGATCCCATAATATATTTTAATAAACTAGTCAAGGACAAAAAATAAGGGACAAGAAATGAGAAAATTTGAGCCAGAACATGATTAGTTTAGGAAAAGTACTTGAGGCACATAGGGATTGAAATCAATTCCAAGAGATGTCACAAATTCCTCCGCAACTTGCGGCCAATTGATATCAGGATACGCCGCAAGATGTGCATTATAGTTGCCAACAGCACCAGCAAACTTCCCAAGTATTTTAACTTTTGAAATATCCTGCTTTTCCCAACTTAACCTGAATGCGAAAATTGCCATTTCCTTTCCCAAGGTTGTAGGTGAAGCTGGCTGCAAAGAAATGGCAGATGTGAACAATTCATTCGAGTTTTCAGCTGTTTGAACAGTAAAGAATCAGCAACAGATCCAGCAATAAGTGTCATAAAATATATTGGAGATTCATTGTGCCTTAAAAGGGTAGAATAACTCTGGTTGTATTCCCACGCCCAATCCCCGAACCTCCTCAGGCTCAAAGAAAAAAAAATTAAAATAATAAGAAAGAACAAGTGATTGTTACCTGTCCATGGGTGCGAGAAAGCATAGGAATGTGAGCATTTTCCATAGCCATGTCACTTATGGCTGAAATCACTTCATCCATAGCAGGTAACATCACCATAGAAAGAGCTTCTTTCAGCATAAGTGCATAAGAAAGATTGTTAATGTCTTCAGACGTACAGGCAAAGTGGAAAAACTCAAGCACCTAGACAAGCGACAAGAAAAATACTGAACATATGCAAAACATGCACAGATATTATTTTGGGTTCCATAATTCTTTGGAAACATCATGCAGGGAAATCAAAAGAACTGAGAGTCCTAATGAGGCCATCATGTCATGTCTATAGAATAGAGTAGAAGGAAGGATGACATTTCCATTCAGCTAACATCAAGGTTCCAAACTGATACCTTTCCTATCTCTGGGTGTGACTGGCACCTTTGCTTCAAAAAGTATTCCACTGCCTTAACATCGTGGTTAGTCACTTTCTCAATTTTCTTGACTTCCATGGCATCATCCAAGCTAAATCCATCAATCAAGCCTTGCAGATAAGTCTCAGCATCTTTAGAGAAGCTTGGAACCTCAGGAATTTCAGGAACTTGAGAAAGTTTTAACAACCATTTCACCTACAAAAAAAGGGTTTCTGGCTATGATTTTGTTTGAAATTCATGAAGGCAGAGGCGACAGCAAGGCAAAGAAAGAAATAAAGGACATGAAACACTCATGATCATCGGTGAGATGTTAAGTGTTAAAACTGCTCATCCAAATTCAAAGAATAAGCATGATCAAGTTAGCATGAGAATTTTGAGTTGCAAAGTAATTTATTAGATTGGCACAGTAAACTTGGAAGTGTGTACATAGCTCACCTCACCATATTCACACACAATATATATGACTGAAGAGCAAAGGGTCCCCTCTAAGAGATCTCTGCTCGTGAACTGAACCATCTATCCCACCACATAGATAAACCAACACACTTTGCCAACAGCCCTTGTACAGATCTCAAGTTAGGATGGCCAGAATTTCATGTCATGCCACATTTGCAGATACAGGAAGTAAAACTCCTCTGTGGATTGTTAGATGACAATTTATGTTTTGGACACCACTTGCATGTTGGCAGCATTTTGAAGCCTCACGACATGATAAAAACCACAAATTGATAATACTATCCAGATCCAGCACTATCTAACATCATTCCACCATTGCAGTCTCCATCAACATACAGAGTGTAATATAATATGACAAACTAATCTCTCTTTTTCCTTGTTAGAATATTTCTGCTGCATGATCAATAACTGTTTAAGTTTCAAATTCAGATTTCTAGAGAAACTTTGGTACTTTCCTTCCTCGTAACAGCATTTTGTGGTAGGAATCACTACTACTCTTAAAATTCCCGAAGTACAGCTTCAGCAGCCAAATTCAGCATGACTAACAACACAAGGATCAAATTTTAATAATTCCATTTCCTTCCAATCTTACAGAATTGTGGGACAGACTAAAATAAAACTTCCAGCAAATGCCAAAAAAAATTCAAAAAAAAAAATATGATTTCTGTGCTCTGAAGTTCAAAATCAAGATAGTACAGAAAGTAAAGCTCCAAAAAATTTAAAGTCAGTCATGTCATGTATCTGCTAGTCCACCCCTTTTGCCCTTTTTCCTCTTACTTTATTTGAAGCCGACACTAATTAGATAAGTTACTTCCAACAAGAATGCGAAATCAGGAGACCAACAATTTTCATTATGCTCTGAAAACTCAAACAGTACATTTCAGATGGTTTGCAGCAAGAATTATCTATAAGTCAGGGAAGCAATTTAGCAATATTACCAGTTAAAGAATTGCAGTATTAGAAACATACCTCAACTAAAACCCTAAAGCGAATTAAACCATATTCACTCATAAAAAAAGCTAGCTCCTTGACCTTAGCCCAATAACGTCCATCAAGAGGACACAGAGCTGTTAAGCTTGAGAGCTTTAAATCATGTGAATCATCAGCAGACATCTTCCTTCCCTATAAAAAAAATTCACAAAAACCCAATAAAATTTCACTAACGAAACTCCATAATAAGAACACAAAAATTTATTTGAAAAAAAAAAATTCCAAGTTCCACCTGCCCTTTTTAAAAAAAAAAAACACACACAAAAGAACTGTAATTGCGACAAGGAAGAAGTTAAATAAACATGATGTTATCAAAGTTTCATCAAATTAGAAAAGAAAAAAAAGTAGCCATTACTTTTTCTACAGCTTTGGTACTGCTCTCTTTTGCAGCGGCTTTGCAGCAGCAGTTTTTGAGTGTGTAAAATGAAGCATTTGAGAGGTGGGGAAGACGGTGATGGTAGGGAAAATGGAGGTTTAAGGTTCGATAATTGCAGATTGGATTGCAATACGGCGCCACTTGGCAATGAATACGAGATACCACCCTAAAACTAGCCTCCACTTCCATCAGGCCAGACTTCTTCCCTGAATGAAATGACTAAGGGGATGCTTGGTTGAAGCTTCAGAATCCTAATTGTAATTGGAATTATCCTAGGTGAGTTGCCCTCACGCAACGCATGAGGCTGCCCTGATCTTGATGCTATGCTGCAATGTAGTAGCACAAAGACGATAAGATGATAATTTTCAGGCTTGCCCAGAAATGTCCAATTATTCAAATTGGGATATTAAATATAAAAGTTACATAAAGGTGCACCAAAATCTTTGCAATTATTTTTTGCAATTTTATTAAGCAATGAAAAGAAGCCACAATTTCAACCAGGTTGCTAAATGACACAGTCATTTTTGTTTTGCTGACTAATTGGACAGCAATGGCAATGTCATTAGTTTGAAACTAATACATCACCGCATAATGCTGCCTTACATTCTCTATGTACACCAAAAATGTGTTGCTCATGAACAAATTCAACAGGAATTTATAAACAACACTAAAATATGTTGGGCCAGAAATCCATATAATTGTAAAATATAGGAATGGCTGCAGCATAGCAAGAGATATAGGACTCAAAACGATAAGGATTGGAGAATTGTATATGCTTTCTTGTCTATGATAAGATAAACAAGCCATTATCTCATACTTAGAATCTTCTCAACACAACATATGCCATTTAATTTTTGTACCAGCAACTCTTAGCATCATAGAAAATAAACATAAAATCTTACAGACTAAAAAGAGAGAGGGAAGAACACCCCCAAACAAAAAACTAAGATTAATTAAATAACAAAAAGTTAATTGAGATTAAGCATTACGGACTCAGATTGTATGCAATCTGAGCACAATAATAGTAGAAAGGTCCACAAGTGCAATAGCATGGCAGTTCCGTTTTTTTTTTCAATCCAACCAAATCAAACTAACTTTCACTAAATATGATAACTCAAGCCAATCCCCTGGGAACAAAATCAACAAAAAATGTAATGAAAGAACCATACTCTAGCAAAAGAAAAAGGACAAGCAAGATTTATGTAAAGACATGAGCAAAGGACATCAATTATACCCGTTTATTTTGTCACAAAACGGTGTCTTCAGAGTTCAAACTATTGTTTTATCAAATGGAATAAAAAAGTAAAGTTCACTACATTGACAAAATATACATCCAGTCTAACATGAAAACTTCATGAAGAAATGTCATTGAAGTTGGCAATATCAAACTACATCCCCTAATAAACAACTAAAAAGTTGTGAAATTTGCTTGATTGATGGCTTGATTGATGTTCTTTAAGGATCATCATCATCACAAATATAAGCTTAAAAAATAGCTTCATTAGCAGTGGCACTGGTAACTAACCAGGTTGGCATTCCCAACCAAAATAAATTTCAACAAAAGGCAAACTACAAATTGCCTAAGAAAACTAATTAGTTTATTTTCCTTGCCAATATTGAGTTCATAAACAAAAGAAAAGCAAATCTTGCAACCCATCAATAAGATTGACAAATAACCAAAATCTAAAAAACAAGGCTAACATCTATAGACAAAGGGAATGAGCAAAACTACAAGTTGAACAGCAAATGTACAACGAATAATATGGCCGAGTTGAATTCTGGAAAGAGTAAATTGAACTTTAGGTCCTGGCAGTGTATGATTCCCAAAAGAAAAACTCGAAACAGTAAAAATGGAATAAGTAAAGCAAGAAAGTAAAAGAAAATAAATTTGGATCTAAAGGAAATAGGATGCCATCACAAATTTTCATCTTCACTTTTCTAAAGACTAATAACAGGGTAAAGAGAGCAGAAAGCTACAGTAACTGCAGGTGGAGAAATCTGTTTCACACACAAAAAAGGGCATTAAAACATACCGTCATGGCTTAATGAAGAAAAGTAACCTCTTTTGTTTTTTCTTCCTTCATCTAACAAAGACTTAGAATAAACAACGCTGGCAAGAGCAAATTTATTAGGAAAAAAAGGAAGACGAAACCTTGGATCTGCACTAAACAAATTAACATTTTTTTTGTTGTTCAGAAAAAAAAGCCCCTAAATAAAATTCACCTTGAGAAAACAACTTCTACAATCCTTTTCTACTATGGTGCAAATCTTAATATCTCAACCTGTAACAAACATTTGGAATTTTCTAGAAAATAAAGATAGTTATAATTCTTATGTTACACCATGAAATCTAGCATAGCATATGTAAGATCACAAAAGGAAGTAAAACAATAGGAACGAAGCACTAAGCACCTGAATGTTTTTTCAAAGTTTTACATCTAGATCACACTCAATGTAATTAGTCATCTCTACAGAAGGAAATTGAACCTGAGAAAGTACCTTAAAGTAAAAGCCTTTAACACTTACTAAGTCATTCAAGCCATGTGTGTTTCTCATTCAGGTTTTAACTTCCTAAGCTTGTCCTGCATGACAGTACCATGTGCTTTGAATGAAAGTCTTATGTACTTTATTCAGTAATGGACAAAGTCAAAAGGAACATGTTGGGCTTCCAGTGGGTCCAAATAAAGAAATTGAGGTAATTAGGTATGAGCGCCTTGATTACTAACTCATACTATTACCCAGATAGCATTTTGAATATCCTATGTTCTTTTTCAATGAATCTATTTACTGGAAAGAGTTCATCTTTTTTTTTTTTCAGATAAACCCTAATAAATTCATCCTCTTCATACAAAAGCAATAGCAAGACAAAAAGAAAAAATTCAAAGGATTTAAGAGTTGAGATAAAGAAATCAAAAGAACAACATTATTATCAACCAAAAAAAGGAAAAATAAAAAAAAAATCAAAAGAATGTATCCCTGGAGAACAGAAGATACTGATGTTGTCATCTTTCTTCGTGCAAAGGCAATAACATAAAAATGCAAAATCAGATAAACAAAAAATCGGTGACACAAAAATACTTTCTTGAGATGCAAAAGATTTAACGAACAAAGGTCTTATTAATTGAAAAAAAAGAAAAAAAGAAAAAGAAACCATGGGTCATTAAATCTAATAAACATAATCCACCAGTTGAAGGATGAGGGATAAATCACAAAAGGGACCATAACTCTCAACTTCGGGCTAAATCTACCTCAATAATACCTCAAACATAAGCCAAATATTCAAAAAAGAAAGCACAAAACAAACTTATTAGCTTGGCATTGAAATGTACCAAAACACAATTAAGTACAAGAGAGAGCAACAGACCTTCTCTAATTTATACAGAAAGATCAGCACTGAGAATTGTGAGGATGGCAATTCTAAAGGACATGAAAATCAGGATTGTCGTCCAATACCCTCTCCTGCAACAAAATTGAAAAGAAAACTGTTTATCATTTAAAATCAAAACATTTGAAGATGAGGGTGTAAAAAGTATTCAAAATAAGACTCACCTGAATAAAATTTCTACAAGCTCCAAAAACCTACCACTGTTCTTTAATAATCAACAGAAACTTAATCATTTTCTCATAATCAACAGAAACTTAATCGACAGAGATATCTACTAATTATTAGCATACACGCACATCCATTTGACTAAGATATTTTTCTAAATAAAGTGTAACAGCTTACCTGTCCAAAGCTGAACTATGCTAAAAGTCCAAGGCTTAGACCGACTGGTACTAAACAAACCATTACCCCTATAAAATTCAACCCGAAAGTGAACAACAATAAATAGGAGGAAAAATAAATTGTTCATATGCAAAATGGAAACAAATGAGAAAAAAAGAAGGTTATAAAATGTTACACAAAAATAATCACCAAGTTTTTAGCCAAAGACATTGTGCTAAAATTTGAACAACCCATGAATCCAAAACAACCAAAAAATACACCAAGCAATTTTCCCATACAGAATGGAAAATCACATAAGTTTGTATAGGTGCTGTAGAAGGCCAGGAAAAAAAGGACAAATAACTAACATGAGAACTATTAAAAATGCGTGCAAAAAATAAAAAATAATAGTGAAAAACCCGATATCTGGAAGACTGAAACTCAAAGAAGCAAAATCACATACAATTTTTCTTGGTAATGATCTTCTCTTGACAGCCTCTGTGTCCTGAGAAAGCATGGATAGAAAATCAGGCATAGTATATGTGAAATTTTAGATGGTAACCATGAGCACACGTTGAGGAAACAATCAAGAAATATTGAAAGGAAATAAAACTAAGAGGCAATAAAGAACATGAAGTCTAGAGTTAGATTCTTCAAACTTCCTTGTTTTTGGATTTAATTCTTTCAACCGTACTCTTTGTTCGGGAGAGCGAGAAGGGATCGGCCAGAGAGGCAGACGGCGGCTCTCTGGGATTTGGAGGGGGGGATGTCATGATAGGGGCTGTGCGTGTGTGGGGGGTAATTTTGCCAATTCAAATAACTAAAACTACTAAATCAAGAAAACCAAAAAGGTTAATTTTTTGGTGTTTAGCTGATAAGAGTACTAATTTGCTATTCCGGGTACAAAATGCTATACTTATGGTGCATTTACTGTTTTATCTCGTGCACAGCTGATTTGCCATTAGGTGTGGCAATAGGGCAGGGGTGGCAATAGGGCGGGGGTGGGGCAGGGGATCCTTCCCGCGTCCCCCGCCCCATTGTCAAATAACTCCCCCCTCCCCCACCCCTTGCCTCCCACCCCCCGCCCCACCCCCGCCCCGTTTCCCACGCGGTCCCCCGGTAGAAGAAAGTGCCATCAACAAAAGAAGGAAACCACTGGTTCAGTGAAATGCCTCTGAGCCTTTTCTCGTTTGGCAGCGAAATTTGGCAGTGAAATGCAAGCAGAAAATTAACGGAAAATCTGCGAAAGAGTGGCAAGAGATAAAAAAAAAAATATCCCACTACACCACAGCCCACAGGAATAATGATGTAAGAAAGACTATAATGTATCCTCGCGCAAAAGAAGTTGACAGGAAAATCAGTGCTTTCCACAGAAATGCTCTTCTAACTTGCTACTAAACCAGAAATTCAGTTCACTTGCGATACCCAACCCTCCCCTCCAACCCACACAATCATGCGCAAACTGCTGCAACTATTACGATCAGTAAGCAAGAAATATTAGCATTACAAACAAAAGACCTACAACACCTAGTCGTCACAGCAGCTAGCCACAGGCAAATGAAATGCGATAACCCCAATAATTCAAGTTAATTAGCCAGCCCAAAAGCTTTGATTTAACGAATATTGATTGGAAACTCAGAAACCTAGAACCAGAAACAGAAACAGACCCGTTCCCTCCTAATTATCAAACAATTTAAGCGCACAAGGAAAACAAAGACGAAGATATCAGCAAGAAAAAGATGAAGATTTACCTCCGATCACTTGCCGGCCAAATTCATCCTCGCTCGATCTGGGATTCTGGGTTGGGTAAAATTTTAGGAGGATTTAGACAGAGAGGATGGGTTTAGTTGAGTAGTGATTAGAACTGAGGGGAATGGGAGGCGACAGCGGTGGCTGCGAAGGAGGGAACGAAACCGGTGAAAACGAGGGAGCACCTGTGGTAAATTTCATCGGTTAATCACAGAAAGGTTATAAGTTCCTCGCAAAATCAGGTCGCATCGAGACAAACAAAAGGGTTAATTCCACTTTGTTCCCCCCAAACTTTGAACGATTATTCACTTCAGTCCCTAAATTTTAAAATGGAACACTTAAGTCCTTAAACTTATAAATATCTTCCACTTAAATCCCTAAAATTATAAAATACGACACTTAAATCCTTAAACCCTTATAAAATGGGACACTTCGACCACCAACGTCATTCAAGATTTATTAATAATTTTTCTTAAGTGGAAGGTATTTATAAGTTTAAGGACTTAAGTGTTCTATTTTAAAATTTAAGGATTGAAGTGGATAATCATTTAAAGTTTAGAGGGATAAAGTGGAATTAACCCCAAATGTGGGTTGAACGGCAATCAAAGGCAGATGAACAAAGGTGCGGCAGATGACCAACTTTAGCCTTTGTAAATTGTAAGTGAAGGTGTAGCTTTAGGAAATTTAGGATTGTTATATATATATATATATATATATATATATATATATTATGCCCCTGTCCAGTTTTAAGGCGAGGGGGAATATTTTGCCCCTGCCCCGCCCCGCTCCCGCTCCCGCTCCGCTCATCCCCCGTCTCATTTCTATTTCAGCAGGTGCTCGCCCTCATTGCCAACCGTATTTGTTATAGTACAAAAGGATAGCTACATATTTTGCATTTACAAATAATTAAACTACTAAATAGAGATTTTTTTTAAAAAAAATATAGTGCATTCCTTTTTAATTGAGGGCGCAACTTTGCTAGTATTTGGCAATACAAAATTGTTTATAAGTATATGCTTTTATCAAGTAAAAAAAAGGTCTAAATATGTTATAGACTTTATTTTTTAGAGCAATTAGTTATGATAAAAGCTTCCAATTAAAACGATGTCTTAATTTTATGGGTTTCAATACCTAAGCTAGGGATGACAAGTTATTCAATCAGCGTAATGCATTCTCTATTTGAATAACATTACAATTTTGCTTTTGAGATTGCAAAAGTAGAGGCCAAAGTTTTACAGTTTGTCAGGAAAACTTGTTCTTGACAATACATTTACTTTTATCACGTAAAATTTGTTAGAACATTTTCCTTTTCATACAATTGCTTGGTGCAAAATATTTTTGAATGGTAAAAGATTGAGTAGGTTTGCAAATTTGAATACTCAAATTAATTTATCCAAAAAATAAGTAATTATTTTTTCAACTCATAATTTCTTGGTCATAGAGAGTCACTATACAACTGTTCCTTAATACAAAATGGCATGCTAACAGTCACTTACTTTTGTTTAATAAAAGTGGTCCAAATTTTTATTTTCATTTTCAAACAAATTCTTAGCAAAAAAAAGAAAGAAAGAAAGAAGTTCTTAAATAGAGAAATATACACTAATTAGCAGGTACAGATAATTGAAGGTATTAAATTGTGAAAGAAAAGTTATTTTCTTTAGGATAAGAAAAGTTATTTTCTTTAGTTGAGTGCATTCCATTTTTGGTGGTGCTATAATTTTTTGGATTAATCTTCTATGTAGTAAAGGTGTATGCATTGTCAAACTAGATGCATGATAACTAATTTAATTTTGAATTTGAAATCCAAATTTTTCATGTGTCATGCATCCAACTATATTAGTGTATACATGATTAGTGTATATAGTATTTACTTTAATTTTTTTACTATCGGTAGTGAAAATGGATTATTGCCAATATTTTTTTTTATCAAGTAAAATTCTTGGAGCTCATTAAAATTTCATTACTATGTGAATGGTTTGCTAAAAAGCCTTTCAAATAGCTACAGATACAAATAAAAAATTGTTAAATCAAGAAGTGATATTACTTTTTTCTGTAATATATTCCTTAAAAATGAAAATAAAATTAAGTAAATAGTCTGAACTGTTCTAATTTTTATTTTTTATGCAATTGGTTAGTTTAAAAAATCTCAAGTAGCCAAAAATCTCAAGTTCTAATTAATTTGGTGTGTGCAAATAAACTTTTAAATAGACTAAGGAAAAGGTTGTTTCCCCCCTATTGAGTGCATTCCTTTCTAATAAAAGAATAACTTTGCAATTCAGCAACACAAAAATAGCTTCCAGTTAGTATGTTTACTTTTGTCAAGTAAATATGATTTAAATGATTCTAATCTTTATTGTCATACAATTGGTAGTGGACAAGGCTTCTAAGTAAAAAGATATACTAATTTTATGGGTACAAAAAATCACATTGTGAAATTGACGAATGAAAAGTTATTTATATAGTGCACAGTTGTAGTGCATCCCTTATTTGAAAAACAATACAATTTTGCTATTCAATATGGGAAAAAGACTTCATATTCAAACATTGACTTTTATCAACTTTTATCAAGTAAACATTACCCAAATCATTTTAATTTTTTTTTGTACAATAATTAGTGACAGATAAAAGTAATTTTGTGAGTACGCATGATTGAAACAGTTGAATTTTTTAGGCAAAACTTGCTCCAACATATAAGTTACTTAATGTAATATAGACTCAAATTAAATATATCAAATTTAGTACTTAACAATTTAATAACAGTTTAAGTTATTCAAGTTTTAATATTTTTAGAGGTATTGAATAACAAAAAATAAAACATCTAAATTAAATGAGTAACATTGAATTTTTTTGGCACAATTTACTTCAAAAAATAATTAATGAGCTATTCATTTATCAATAACTTAATATGCATTCACTGCAATATATCAACTTTAAAACTTAATGATTGAATAACTTAAAATATTGGGAAAGATTTTAGATTTCAAACTTTTAAACTTGTTAATTAAACGCACCCTTACACTCTTCTCCAAATCCTTTAATCCACTCGTAACCAAGAGGCGAAATCCAACACTCAACAAATACATCGCCATACATCACCACCAAATTTAATTATTTACGCAAACACATTTAGTAATGCGAGGCAATGGTGGATTTTATTCAAATTTAATATCTCAAACAAGGGGAATCTATTTTCCAGAGTTTTTGTAAAAAAATTCGTCAGGCTTTTGTAAAAGAATGTACTATAGTAATTTGATGTACGTGAGATAAAAAAATGATTGAAAAATTTATTCATAAAAAACATAAAAATTTTTTTTTAGAGAAAATTAGCTTTCCAAACAAGGTAGACTCTCTGACTTTGAGGCCATAGTCCTCCATTGCATATATTTGGACATTCCTAACAAAACACATTGCCTGATCCCTGCAAATCATACATATAAAGCTGACATTGATAGCAATTAGCATCGGAGTAAATTTACTTTTGTCCATCAAACCTAGGATTAATGTCTCCAATACTCGTACTAAAGATTCTTCTACATTTAGCAGAGCTAAATAACTCTAAATGATGATTAGGACATATATGCTAGAGGTATGCCTACTTTTAAATTTGTTTTTTCCTACTTTTAAACTTCTAATTCTTGCGAGAATTTGAACCTAAGATTTCTAATTCCTGAGATCTCAACCTTAACCACGAGACCATAGCCACCTCCCCGCTCGTAGGTATGCCTAATGGTAATAGTTCATCATCTTAAGAGCGTTTACGCAAGTGTAGCTTGAAAATGACACAAAAAGCTTCCGAAACCTGCATTGGCAATTAAGATGAGACAAATGAGAATACACAAAAGATTATTGAAGCCAGTTAGAGGAAAAAACAGAAAAACAATAAATGTAAATATACCCAAAAAAAATCTCTTCTAAGGAAAATCATGTAAGATCTTGCAAGGAAAAAAAGATATTAATCTGTTCTACCTCCAATTAGATGTGAACTAGTTTATTTGGACCTCACGCGTTGCATGACGGTGCCCAGAAAAAGTATAATCTATGCAAGTATACATGGTCAAAAACTGTAATAATTCTCCAGGCATTCTCATCAAATTCTTTGAACACACAGATATGGTATCTTGTCTCAAGAAACTACCCAAAACTCCAGCATTTGTTCATGCCGTCAACATATAGACGTCAGATTTCAAACTCCAGCATTTCTTTTAGTGCATTAAAAGCATAAATGCACCATTGTAACTTCATGTATTGCCACACCGACTGATCTTGAAGATGACATGCTACAAACGATTGCAGTTGGTGCACAGGTAAAATCAGTATCAATACATGCTGGCACATGTACGGGCTTGTAGCATAGATGGAAGCAAATTGGGGTCATAAAGGAGCAAAACACAAACTTCAACAAATTTTATTCACAAAAAGTCACTTCAGAGAATTATAATTACAAACTTCGAGTAATTAATAAATGACATTTTGAACATGCATCACATATGTGGAGCACATGCATTACCAATCACTTCATTATTTAATCCATAAATATCATATTGATGGTGTTCATTATCTTCGCAACTATTAAGCATTCCTGGAACTACATTCCTTTGAGCTTCAACGGTGACAAGAGACCCTAAGGTAGGGGGTGAGACCACCCAACTAATAGCTTTCCAATCAAGCCTTTTTAAACAATTAGCATGCAGTAAGTGGATACAAATCAAAGAGCTCCCTCTATATTATCAAACAACAGAAACATAAGAGTATAAGGAAAATTTATCCTTTGACTTGAACTAAGTCATGCAAAATGACTATTATGTAAGAGGTTCAGTTCCTTGGAAGATGGGGAATGATGCAATCCTTTTAAGGAAAACTGGTTAAGAATGATAGTATATACCTGCAAAATTTCAAGCTACTATGCAGTTTCTTTTGATAGTTTGCCAAGTTCCATCCTAAATTTCGACTAATAAGAAAGCACTAAATGTGGGAGAAAGAGAAACAGCAAATAAACTACAGAATGCAAATGAAATGCTGAAAACAGAGACAAAATTTCAAGTTTACCAAAATGCAATGGAAGAACTTCTTGGACTCATCGTTATGTCTGAAGGCCTCAAAAGCAGAAATCCAGCAAAAGATTAAAAACATATTTGGCTCTAAAGACACAAAATACTTGAACCCAACCAACCAAATAAGGCAGGCAAAGTAAAGAAGAAAGCAGCTTCCAAGGGTGGATAAAAATTTGACCGAAAATAATTAAGAACCTGACATAAGCATTATCTTCCAGGTTCAAATTTAGAGCATATAAACGATCGAAAATTTGTAATAAAAACTAATCAAAAAAATCCAAAACAATAGGTACTTGAAAATAGTGTGTGCTGTGAAAACAATACGCATTGGGGAATTGCCCCAAAATCACCCCAATGGCCCTATCTTCCCTACTATCAGTACTAGAGCAGTAATTGGACCCAGCAATAAATCAGAAATATGCATGCAAAGAATGCTAGAAGAATCCAATGAACATCTTAGGAGCAGAAGAACAACTGGAAAAGCCTGAAACTTGGTATAATTTAAATGCCTTAACAAAAGGATAAACATAAACGCATCAAATAGAAAGAAAAAAGAGTTTTACCGGAGGTGAGAGAAAACAAACTTGGCCATTTCACATTCAATACGTTTCTGAGCTTGAAGAACACGGAGATTTCAATGCTTCCTTATCTCCTGAAGCTTTATTCTTCTGTCAAAGCACTCATATGCACATTTGAAATAAGCTTGTTGCAATATCAAATACCCACAATTTGAACCATTTATAATCTAAACTACTTTAAGAACAATGAAGGAAAAAAGAGGGTAAAAAGAAATGAGTGCCAAAGAAGATGATTTGAAAGCTTTGAAAGGATTTTGGACAGAAGAGAGTTGGGACTAAGTAACGGAGGAGTCAAATGGAGGGAAGACGGAACATGTAGTTTGGAGGGTATTGGAATTTCTGTTTGACAATTGAAACATCTTGGGAGTATTGAGCTTTGTATACACCAATTGCTATCCATGTGGGGAGTCAATCTTTTAACTGAATTGCCTCTAAATTTTCTGCATAATTCGGTTGGTTTTAGATTTCATAGATGATGGAGAAGTTCCTGGACTTATTTACGATAGGGTTGGAACAGAAGATGGAGCAGCCAATAGCACTGATGGATCTCAATCTAGCATCCAACTGTAGCATTATGAAAAGACCCAATAGCCAAGCCTACAAGCTCACATCAATAACTAGTTAAAGGGTAAAATTGGGAGATAAGGGTTAGCTAGTAAAATCATATTGTCACATCACCTACCAGCCGCACATCCCAACTCAGTCCTAGTCCCAACAAATCAAATGTTCACCTGATATTCCATATTCAGTCACCTAGTCCAGGTGTCCATAGGGGACCATGACTACTGTTCATAAACCAACTCTCCTTTTTATTCCTTTTAGGATTTAGGATATAGTAGCACGCATACCATATCC